ATTATACTTTGCCTCGCGTCTCCTCTAATACACATACTGAATTTTGCAGTGCATCGCCCTTGGGTAAAACTTAACTACTGCAGGAAAAAATGTATATCTACCAATGAGCTTTTCACAAACAATAACCGTAGGAGTAATAAGCTTACAAGGTATTAAACGTCGTAATTTAGAAGTATCTTCCCAACGATTTGTAATCATTCAGTCTGTACAACATGTCTCTAGAGATTAGATTGTAACATAGTCGAAATACTTCACAGTATAAATACTACATGGGACTGAGGGGTGCTTACTCAACGCAAGAGTAAAGGTTTTTGGAAAACTGCGGGGGACGTTCGTGGGGATTATGCATTTTAGTGGACTACAGAAGAGTAATCAGGCATTTATGACGTACGAATGATGGATTGGTTGTTATAACACACTTTAGAGGTTTTTGAGGGAAAAATCAAGGTATGAGCGAGTTTTTATTCACCGCCTCTCTGAATTTTAAATGAACATCTCACAACAAGTAAACAATAACCGTAGGTTTTATATTGATACGGAAAGGGTTAAAAATATGTGATTTTTTCAACCAATACATCGGACATTGTTGCTATGCGTATAAAAACGATAAACTCAGAATATGAAAAGGATTTTTTTTTGTTTAAAGAATAAATAACAACACTATAATACAGTCAATTAATAAACTAATGTAATTTTTAAATAAATATTTTTAGTGAATTCAGCATTGATTCTAAGGCGATGAGAAAATTTTCATTTTAATTTTATTGCTTATGAGCTTGTCAACGGGTTTTGTAACATGCGTTAATCAAATTAAGTATATCTAGTTAATTACTAAAACTTCATTGTTTTGCATTGCTCAATCTTAATTATAATTAAAGAAAACAATTACACGCGTATTCCCAACAAAACAACTTGACGAGTTAATAACATATTACTTTAAAGTTATGACCAATCTTGACTCGGTGGAATTTTAAATCACATACTTATTAAACAGTTCAAGTCAGCAGTGTATTTTCTTAGGTCTCAATTCAAAAACAATTCTACCGCAGCCGACTGCCACAGTGCCTACACGCACAGTATACATCAAAACTTAATGTTACACATTGTGTATACAAATCATTACCATATAATTAATATTCGAAAATAGCCTTCATAAGTCTGTAATGTATTCATTATCACATTTCTATAGTAGGTACCTAGCTGAATGGTTACTATTAGAATTCATATTATTATAATGTATTACACCGTTACGCGCAGCACATGTCATTAAAAAACTGCTCTCGTGATCATCGCGCGTAAAACACACAACTGGTAGTATTGTATTACATGCCCATAGCTAATACATTTATTTCACTAATTATCAATAGTTGATAACTGACTGTCTTATAACTTTTCATCCAATAATCGTTCACTGAAATTTTTTTTATCATTTTTACATTTCTAGAAAAAAGCATACTTTTTATTATATTTATTTTTGATAATAAAATAATGATTTACTTTTGCAAACCTTCAAAATATCCATTTTTTTAGGGCTTTTATTGTAAACAATTTTCGATAACTATATTAGGACGAGTAATTATTGAGTTAAAAGCACTTAAACTATACACCAGTACGAGTTGTATCCAACTACTCGCTCTAAAAATTCAAGTTTAATATTACAATGCTAGTAATTCAATAAGTAATGTCCTTAAAATTGCTATCGATACATTAATCATCTTTGTAAGAAAAGCACGATAAACGCGTAGTATTTAAAACGGCAAAAATTTCAAAAACGTTAGTCTTGTGGAACAATTAAACGTTTTAAACTGTTTGCTTGTGTTTTAAACAGGTTTTTTAACAACCCCGAAGAAAAGTAATAAAAACTGGCTATTTTAAAATTTTAAACCAAAAAAAAAAAAAAGGAAATAATAAAAAATACGATTTTAACATAGTCTAAAAATGCATAAATTACTATAATTAAAACTACACCGACCTGTTAATTATATCAAAAATTATAAGAGTTGTCAGTTATATGTGTTTCATTCTGTATGTATATATCGTATAATTATAACAATAACTCTAATTGTTCGGTTATAATCGGAACGAAAAATTCTATTAAAAAATGCGATATTAAGATAGTGTTTTATTAGCAGTTTAATAGATTTGATTTTTTTGTCTTGGTGGTTACACAACTGCAGAGAGAACGTATAAATACATGTGGCTATCTAAAACGGACCGAATGTGACGCCAGGAAAGGCTGTTTGTGCGAGACAATGTTACATTGAAATGAGTTCTTCGTTTAAAACTTCAAAATAAAACGGTGTTCGGCAGCGTCGGTGGCGTTGGCGGCCAATCTAATCTGTAACTGTCATTTGTATGCCGTACCCTTGCGAGCAGTGGCCGGTTAGCTGTGCGAGGACGGCAATGGCGATAACCATCGTCGAATGGCGTACTAATACACCCAGTCTTGGAGTATTATTATTTACAAGTGCGGCCCGAGGTTTTTGATATGGCACCGAACACACATAATAACATAATGGTTATGATAATAATAATAATATTATTGTACATACGATATGTGTGTAGGAAACAAAGTGGAAGAACTGTATAGTCTCGATTTGCTGCTTTAACGAGCGATTATTATTCCTGTGTGCGTTTATGTGACTGGCATATCTACATAGGTAAGATCTGCCGTCCGAGCAGCGCGTTTGCATAAAAGGTCGCCGCTACAGTTGACCATATCCTCATCAAGTATACAGTTACGACTTGAGCGTTATACAAATATGAAGTATCCAAGTGCACAATGACCACGTAATGTTTCATATTACACTGCGCTGTATTGATTGGTCACCGAACAATTGTTTATTGTCTTCAAAAATATTATGTTTGTGTGTTTATCGTTAACATTCTATCAGCTTCCTTTGACATTTAACGGAGTCACTCACACTGTGACATTCTCGCGCAAGTCGAACATTTTTTGTGTCACTCGGTTTCCTCCTATCGCTATTTGATTTTAGAAATAAAAAAAAAATTACTCTATAAAATCACTCGACTATATAAATTTCATCGCGTCTATTCTTATCTATTTTAATCTTTTCGTGTGCATCGTACGTTGTTCATAGAAGTAACTGCCAAATGCATAAATTTAAGTTAACGACGATGGAAATTTGACTTTTATGAATCGGATTAAACTAAATTTGAGTAATACAAACGGAAACGTGTAACATAAAGTGGTCAATGATTTGCGCTAAGCCGACGGTTGAAGTAGTTAAACTCAGATTGTACGAAATTATTGTTAAATCCGACATTATGGCCAATATTCCTAAACCGACGGTAGGGCAATAACTTTTATTTTTTAACACATAACAATGACTTCGAAATACCGTCTATACTTACTTAACGCAGCCCGTGAATAATTATTTACACTTCGAATTCAAATATGTACATTTTACTTAAAATATTTGCTATTAAAAGCGTCTGTGGAACTGCAAACGCAAAAGTAAATAAAACAACACATTTTATAGTATTCAGAGCGTAAAAATTATACTGTTTATATCAAATACTATGTGTCAGTTATGAGCACTATATTCGGCACCATTTATGTCATTATACTTTTAATCGTTTAGAAATGACAGCGTATTTTATGAAAGATCAATGTACTGTACATTCCACTGATCAAGTATTTAGCATTGGCTGTTTGCCAGATACAATTATCTACTGACTAGACATATTAGTAGAAATTAGCAATAAAAATACAATCATTTTAAAATTGGCGTTCATTTAGAAAACTAGGATGACAAAGCCAAATAGTATACTTTTGGACTGATTAATTATTTAAAACTACTCGCATTTACATTTTCTATAAAATATCCATAGAAGACCTTTTGTGCCATTTGATGGGCAGATCGATCTTGACGTCATTAATATTTCATTTTTGCTATTACACAATAAAAGCAGTTGTTTAAACTGGATTGTTAAGTTCTTTCTTGATTCAAAAAGGGATCTCACATAGCATACAGTAAACAAACAAATCGCAATCGCTGTGTTGCATTATTTAAACGGTTTGTTTGTGCCAATGTTACTGCAGATTGCTATGGAAATATCTCTCCTGGGGAGCCTTTTCCGTGTCCAGCCACTGTGGGCAAGGATTAAAATTATGTAACGACCGTCAGTGAATAATAGGGAGACGATCGAAATGTGTTGTACAGATAGTAATAAAAATGTTTCTGATATTAAATTTTGTTATTTTTTGCTTCACCACTAGGGGTTTTGTTAGTCGATCGGAAACTAAGAGTGGAACTACACCCAAAGGAAGGAAAGAATCGTTTTTGCCAAGCGTAATGTGTAATAATGATAACAAATGCGCACGTCCTGCGCATCTGTATTCTTTTATTAAAAAGCTACGGCAATATTGTTCCATATATCACGTACAACGGCACACACGGTACACAAAACGAAGTCCGTCGTACTAAAATTATTTCTCAGTCTATCTACGTGTATTAAAAACAATATAAGTTACTAAAAATTAGAAATTATTATCGATAGATCAATGTACAATTCTCGACAATGTTTTATTAAATGTATGGAATCTACCTTCCTGTGAATAAGAATAAAAGTGTACAAAGTTTCTTTGAGTTCCATTATTCATTTAGTTTAAATAATGTGCAACATTACTATATGTCATAAGAAATAAAAGCGAGGCCATATATTGTATATTTTGTTACTGTACTATTTTTTTTTTATTTTTTTATTTTACTATTTTACAATGTGTACATTTATTTTTTAATTTTAATAAAATATATACTTTATTTTTCGTACAATCTGTTGCCTTTATATTCGTCAAATTTACTTTATTTTGTATTTAAAAATGATCTACAATACTATTTGTTACATATTAACATTGGAAACAAAAATAAAATATTTTAATTCTAAATGATAGGTTCAGTAAAAATGTTCAATTCACCGGTGATATTTGTATAATTTAAATACTGATTTTTTAGTTCTTTTCTGAAAAATGTAATTAAAAATTTCGCAATCAGAATTTGATAACAGGCACAGTTTTGCACTAATACTGACACATTTCTAGAATGATAACGTTTTTCTGTACTGACAAATCAGTACTGGAAGTTTTATATAACCAGTATTACAACAGTACTCTGTCAACAATGACATCCAAGTACTGATCACCAATACTGGATCAGTAATTAAACAAAACGCTAATCAATACAACGCTAGTATTGGTTAGTCAATAATCAATTGTCATCATTATTAGTACAATACTTCACCCGTTATCGATACTGGTACTTTACAAAAATTCTACTTGAGTTAATTATGAAAGTTTAATTTTATAACACCAATATAACTTACAAAGTTTGATGATTTACCACGGCATATACTTTGGGAATGTTGAAACCGTTAAACGTGGTTGCTATAGCTCTACAATATGAACCCATATTTTCAAAAATGATGTAATCGCCAATATTCATTCGCGGCAAATAAATAGATTTCATTAATAAATCTATACTGTCAGCTGTCGGTCCCCATAATGAGCTTAGAACTAATTCATCTGAACAAGCCTGAATTACATTTATAAATATTATGAAATACTCATATAATTGGATTTAATGTAAATTTGTATAGACTGAAATCTCAGTTTTTTAATATATTTGAAATGACAACTGTTATTTTGTAATATATTAGCTATCTTAAAATATCTTGATAGTAAATAACTTACCGTTAAGGGTTTAGGAATGTATTTTGCTCTTTCTATTAATATGTCCATGAACGATCCATATATTCCATCATTAATGAAATACATAATTTCTCCGTTACAAGAACCACGTTTTATCGAGTGAATTTGAGTAGTAAGGGTAAAAGATGATTCCACAAAATATCTACCTGGTTCTGCTATAATGTTAACTCCACTATCTGGAGGAAACAATTCATCCAATGCCTCATTAATGATACCTGCAAACTTCATACCGAAAATAATAATTTGATGCCAGAGATGGAAAAATAATACATTAAGCATAGTTTTTACCAAACAGATCTTAGTACGTTTATTTTTGTAATTTTATAGTTAAAATCACGAGTGTGGAAAATTATGAAGAGTTGGATATGACTATATTACTCTGAAATTGATGAAGAAAGACATACTTGATTCATTGTTCATATGTCGATCAAATTCGATGGTCAAAAAAAACTATACTAATCTAGCACAATATCTTTTTATTTTTTAAACGCGTATTAGAAGTAATGACATTCAATAAATACGATACCTTGTCAATCTTACCATGAAATCCACCACCTATATCGAGTATATGCATATTTTTAAAACCTATTTTCTTTGCATGACTGAAAACATTAGCAGACGCTAAAATAGCTCTTCTATAAGCTTCTGGTTCATTGCATCCAGATCCGACATGAAAACTAACTCCCACAACTGATAAACCTAAATTGTAAGCCAAGGACAATAATTTTGGAGCTTCAGTAACAGGATCACATCCAAACTTTATACCGAAAGGAGAGCTTTTACATGTCAATGCATCACTTCGGATTCTTATAAGTAACCTTTATTTTAACACAGATTGATATCGAATCATCACATAACCATTAAATATCATTTTAGTATCAACATACTTGCATAATTCATATGTTGATTTCATTTTGTCAAGTTCCATCTCATTATCAAAAACTGTTAAGTTAACAGATTTATTTTTTGCAAATTTTACATGTGAAAGTATTTTTGTTGGATTTGCAAAAATTATACGAGAAGGATTTACTCCTAAGTCTAATACTTTCTTTATTTCTCCCTTAAATAAACTAAATTTTATAAAATATAAACCATTTAATAAATTTAAATAAATGAAACTTACTTCTGTAAAACAATCAAAACCAAAGTCAAATGCTGCAAAGATTTTCAATGCGATTACATTGTCATTACATTTTACAGCTAAAAATTATTTTAATATTTGATTAAATACAAAATTATAAATTAAATAATTATGTAGAACAATAATTATTACTGTTAAACTAATTTAAAGAAAAAAATTCAATTATATTACCAGATAAATTGGTATGAATATATACTTAAAATTTGATAAATATATATTCATATAAAGTAAACCACCTTGGATTAAAATTATGAAAAAAAATATATTTTTCATGATAATGTGATTTATTTGAAATATAATCTACGCATATTTTCGAATAAAAAATTATAATTAATTATTTACATAACTAACCATAGAATGGTTTTACCCTTGGCAAGTTATTTTTCCATGTTTTTATATTGTTCACTAAGTTATGAATATCCAATATGTAAAAGGGATTCGAAATATTCTAAAAACAAGTTAATAAAAATATTTTAGTATAAAATGATAATAATACTTAAAATTAACCATTATTTATCCTTACTGTTGTTTTTACAACATGTTTTATGAATTCATTTATTGATGTTTCATCCGAGATTACATTAATTTTATCTTCATTTGCAATGAAATTCATATTAATCACTTTAACTAAAATATAAAATATCATGACTGATAAAATTAACCATTTTTTTAAATACTATTAATAGATAATATTTATATATATTTCATAGGGATGTTGGAGACAAATATTTAAAAATGAACATTTGAAGTATGAACGAAAATTTATACCTTATACTCAGTAAATACCTGTGTTGAAATTTGTTGAGAATTATCAAACATTTGACCTTAACACATTTAAATAGTTCATAACAACTAAATATCAATTATTTGCCAAAATTGTAGATTGTGTTCTTTCATTAAATTATAATATGCAAAGATCACATCCTATATTTTGAAAATTATCAGATTCTTCCAAAGAAAAACTTCTTTTATAATTAATATAAAATTAATGATTTCAAATTGGGATTAATTTCGGTAATACTTATGCGAGATGACTTGAGACACAAAGTTTCTTAATTATGTATACATTACATTTTTTGTTTAAAATTCAAATTTATAAAGTCATATTAGCTTCGATGCGAAGCTGAGAAGGTATTGGTTTTACTATGTGTTTTTTTTTTTTGTGTCTATTACCACTTTTTCTCAGCTCTCGCCGAACCGATTTCTTTCAACGATACTTCAAAAGATCACAAATCGTATCTAGTCGAAGACATTAACCTTAAAAATTGAAAAAATTTCCTTCGTTCCCCGTAAATGGGGAAATCTCCAAATAAATTACAAATTTAATAATCGCTAACTTTTTACATTACTTTATCATGAAAAAAAAATTTCGGACTTTATTTTGTCTTCGTGGTGAAAATCGCTATGGAATACTATTTTTGTGTGAAAATTCTGGATTTTATTATTTACATTTTTAACATTATAATGCTTTAACTTATTGAAAAGTGTATGGATCAATACAATTTTTTATGAGAAATAATATTTATATCCTTCTTTCATTCGTCATACTTTATCTTAATCAGGATATAAATAAAGAAATAGCAGATCATGTAGCTTTTGTAATAATTCAACAATTTCTTTAAATACTATCTAAAGATTTGCATCGTTTAAAGCGTTTTTTATGATAGTGATTTTATTATTTTATTAATATGTCTATGATTTTTTATGACCTCTTAAAGTTTTTAGATTTCAATGAACTCTTTATATTTACAAAATTTTAAATTATCTTAAATCGATATATCAAAAATTTTCAAATAGTGGTTATAAACATTAAATAAAAAAATCACTTCAATATCAAAAAGGACTCACCAAAAAAAAAAAAAAAAATTTTAAAAATACATTTAAATATTTTTATCCAATGACAACGAATTTCAGAAGTTTCATAGTGAATACTAAAAGTAGACTTTCTAGCTAAATAATCTAGAAGTGCACACAATTTTATGACTTTATTTTTTGATTGAATATGATCATTGCATAAATGTTTCAAAAAAACTATTACAGAACATATTTTCAAAATAAAAAATAATCACGAGGTTACAAAGAATTATCAGAATTTTTCATACTTTTATAGTCAAGACAGTTATGCGTTTAGTTTTGAAACGCAAAAAATATTTTTTTACTATATACAAATTATAGAAATTGTAAATTTTAAACAGGAGATTTGATATGTAGTAAACAAAGTAAAATTTTATTTCTAGCCATTGATAACAAAGTATGTTCTAACATTGCCTTTAAAGAAAAGTTAATTTTTTTTTCTTTTTCTAGATACTTCATATTATACATTATTTTGAATTTCTTAATTATTTTATGATTGTTAGTAAAAGTATTGTAATTAACATCTTTGCTATTTATATTTAAAAGTTATATTGATTATACTTAAAATAACAAAGGTATTGATAAAAAGTACCATAAAGATGGTTATGATAAATAAATTTAAATTTTGAAGATTATTAATTTTTATAATTTTAAAATAATTATGTAAATAGGTACTCACATCGTTTTTTAAATATGTAGAAATTTTATTGAATTTGTCACAAATTCAATAAAATTTCACAAATTATTTGTGGAATTATTAAAATTTAAGTAAATAATATTCAAACTACCATGTTAGATTCATTCACTAATTCACGTATAAAACTGTAAAACTTCAGGAAGAATGCAAGTAAATTCATTTATGTCAATATTTCATTACTGTCTTATTATAAAGGTTCAAGTTTATGCTGGTGACTTAAAACACCTTAAAGTGGTAATAGTAGGAGTAAATGTACCCCCACCCTGAGATTTGTCAAAATTACATAACTCTTAGGCTTAATTCATTGATTTACACCAAAAGGAAAAATTTCGTTTGGCCTCAAAATGAAATCCTGCCTACGTTACTGGTTCGATTATACAGTCGAAAAAAAAATATTATATATAATATCGTTTAAAATTTATGTTAATGATATTTTTTTAAATTAATAATTAGTTTAAATATAGTGCGACATAATGTAATCCCCATGAGTATTTCAGATGAATTATGTAAAGTCACAGGAACATTTTTAATGTTATGTAATAAGTTAATAATAACTTTTTAATTCCTGTCATTTTATTAAAAGAATGAATAAATAAAAATGTACTCACAATGTTACTGATAAATGTTAACACAAAATTTAATTTAAATTGTTCAATTTAACTAAAAATCAAATCAGTAAATTTAAAAACTATAAACACTTATTGATTCTTTCACACTTGAATGTTAACTAGCTAACTTTTTTCAGAATTTTTTTAAATGATTTTTTCAAAGACTCATCTGTCTTAAATAGTAGTCTTACCACATCCAAGAGTTAACAACTAGTTGTCATTGACTACTTCAAAACTTGTTGTAAAGTAATTAAATTTAACTCCTTATAAATATTCACATCATAATTCATTTTTTTATTAAGTTCTTTTAAAAAAAATATAAATTTTTATGTTAGGTAATTGTTTAATTATAACTAATGCAATAACTTTCAAAATATAAAACGTAATATATATTTTTATTTTCAGAAGTTAATAACATTCTATGTTCTATAATTTAAAAAAAATTATTCTAACCCCTTCTTTCATCTTAACATTTTTAACTCAAATTGTTTTTTTAAATGGAAACATATATGTTTAACCTGATTAAAATTAAGAAAATAACCTAACTCATAACATGAGACGTCAATAATAACTTTGGAACCAATATTTAAAAAAAATAATAGTATTTTTATACCATGGACAACTTTTTTTTTTTTGAAAATTATAAAACGTTGGATGTTGATAACTTCTGACAAGAAAAAAAAATTATATTATATCTTACATTTTTAAAGTTATTACATGAGCCATAGTTAAACAATTACTCAGTAAATACAATTACATCCATTAAAAAGTTTATTTCAAGTCTACAAATAATATTCCTATATTATACTTATGCATTTTTTATAAACACTAGCACAGCTTAAAGAATTCATAGAAAGTAACATGAGCGTTATTTTAAAAATATCTTATTTATTAACGCAAACAATCAAAAACCCTTAAACAATACAAGAGAAGATTCGCATCAAAAAGTGTTTTTAGCATAAGTTAAACTTTCGTTTTTCTATTTAAAATCGTATTTGTGTATAAAAACCGCACATGCGTCTAACCTAAAGGCATATAATTACAATATTATACGACAATACACTCGAAGCGGAATAAAATTGATAACAAAAAAGTAGATGTTTTCTTATTTGTCATTCGAACACGATTCTTTTATAAAAAATTCTCATTGTAATGTGTGCATCGTCATTTTTCTTGTACTCAGTATTCATACGTTATCTTACCTTTCATCACGTGTATATTGAAATAATTTTCTTCGCACAAACAAGTAATTCAACGAAAAAGGAAAACGAAAAAAACACTCCAGTAACAGTCTTGTATCATGTCCGTATTAAAATTGTTTTAATTTTAATTAAACCAAAATAATTATAAACAATATATCTGTGGTGTTCGGTTTAAGAGCGATGAGCCAAAAAATGAAAAATTGTGTTATAAGATTAAAATACTAAGAAAATATTCTTTACGTTTACACATAACAAGAAAATTCATGGAATAATTTTTTACATTAGTACCTTTTGACATATTGAAAAGTGCATTAAATATCCTTGGAATAATCTAGTTTGCACAAAAGACAATAACTTACTTATCATCACATTAGATATATTATATTTCTGTACACAATGAGTCAAGTTGACTTATTCCATTATACATAAAGGATTAACTGACTTAACTGGTATTTGTCAGAATAACATGACACTTAGCAATATTATTATTATAAAACTATAACCATAGAACCAAACTAATTATTAGTTTAACGGAAATATTTATTCATTTATTTTATAAATATTTTTTAAAGTTAAGAAGAATATACATTTTATAGTAAATGTATTTGAATTGCAATAAAAATATGTTATGAGATTGAATTTTGAAAAATATTTGTTTTATAACTATTTGAGAATAAATAGGAAACATTATAAATTTAAGATATTGGTTATCAGTCAATAAAATTTATGTTCAAAAAAGAATAACTCAAAAAAATGTTATTAGTTTTTATTATAATTCTTTGAAGCTGTTGTTTAAATTGTGATCAAACGTAGTAATATAGTATGATAATAACTTAAATAATAAGAATGTTTACTATTTCCATACGACATACTAATTAGACTAAAACAATTTTTTTAGTTAATTTTCAAAGTTTCAATTTCATTTTTCATAAGTGAGAAATGTTAATAACAAGACAGAATATTTTAAAAGTAGTCTCAACCTAAAAAAAAAAAAATATGTGTAGTTAGTTCAAAATTGTCAATTATCATTAGGCACGTGGATAAAATCTTCTATTATGTTCAAGTATCTTAATGAATTATATAAGATACATTTTAAGTCTGACGTGTTATATTTGGATACATAACAAGATTACTCTTACGGAAAAAAACTTATAATTTCAATCATCTCTGAGTTATTAAAAATCGTACACTTTCCATTTAAATTAAAAAATATTTCAACCATCTATTTTAAAACTCAATATTTATTTCATTCAAAGTCATTTAAATAATATTAAAAAACCTATTATGACACTGTTACAGTCATTTAATTCATTTGTAAAGTATATAGCAATTACACGAAAATGTAAAAAATTACTTTGGCAAATGTCGTCTGCACGCATATGGCCTAACTAATAAAGTGAAAAGTATTTTTTCATTTTGAAATGATCATAAATTTGCTTAGATCTCTAAATATCTCGACCCGAAAAGGATGAGAAACTTTCTGACAACGTGATTTACCACCGACGATTACAGGGTGTTTTTGTTATACTTATATACGTGTCGTGCGAATAAACTTTAAATGGATGTGCCTCGCTGTATTTTGACCGTTTAGAAAAGTTGCCGAAAAGAAAGTTAAGACGAACAACATCCTCAGTCAGGTATAAATTAAAAACGTGAAAATAACGGGAAACGCCATTTGGGGGGGGGGGCGATGAGCGGTAGTGAAATGAATAGCCGTTGAGACGTTTCTATAGTAATAAAATGCATTTTTATTTGTAAGACCTACATCGGATTACAATAAACAGCTGTGCATAGGAGTATATGTGTGAATATATACGTTTATAATATTATAATGAGGTTCACGCGGAGTCTTTTCAATTATTAAAGTGGTTCTTAAGGTGTGATTTATCGCAGTTTCCACAAAGCTGTTGTGTGTACGGAGAAAGACGAAAAAACACATTCTTGATTCAGTACATAATCCTCTTCGCTGTACTTCACTCCCTCGCGTCTGCATCACACCCATTACAGAAAACACGTCAACCAACAAAAAAAATAATAATTAACTACGGTTTCGCCGCCCAATCCGACTCCGTCCGCCATGATCATTGTTATTTTTATAATGTTTTTCAATTAAAAAAGAAACTTGCACCCGCTCGTTAGCAGCGCAAACATGTGAACGGGTGTAGATGTGTAAATGTGTTTTCATTTCCCGGTCGTCGCTCCACAGACAGGAAGCTCCCGAAGTGTACGTACATGTTGTCCCGAAGTAAACGCTACGACTCAAGTATAATTACCCCTTGTGAGCGAATTGTTTTTCCGAAATGAGTCACACATCTCATCACTTCAAAACACATACTTGCGGTAAACTGTACTATCAAATTGAGAGTTCACACAAAATAGTACTCAATGGTGTTGTTTTTTTACTAGGTAAACTGATGCATCTCACGGATAATAAATTCCGAAGCGTTGAAAATGTCAGTACCAACGAAAACATCACGTTTTTATCGGTGCAAATAGCATTTGAACGTCTAGAAATCTATTGCAATCAAAAACCATTAATACATAAGTGCCACTAACTCTCTATAATAAAAGATTTAATGGACTCAATGTACTCGATTATGTTTTAGGGGAAGGGCCAGAATGACTAAACTATTTTGATTATGACCCAACAAAAAAGGTTACAGAATTCGCAAAGGTTCGATGAATTATCAATTTCGAATAACATTGTTAACCTTAAATACATTTCAATACTGTAGGAAGACCCGTCGTAGATGACCCTTTTAAATAACAATTTGCATTCAATCGGCATGATAATTATAATATTTATGACCAAAAAAGACGTTGATGACGTTTTCCAAATATCATTGTAGTAAATTACTTTCGATTATTCACCTAAATACCTCATCAACATTTCTCAAAAAACACTAAACAGCTCATGAAATCATTGAAGGATGGCAAGAAACATATATTTTTACATAATTATGCACACATTCCATTAAAACACTTACAATGAACCCTTTATTTATAAAATAGCGCATTTTAGTTTATGAAAAATGTAGCCTTTTAAAATATGAAAATCGTTATTATTTTTTGAGTGAGAGCTGATTTATTAAAGTCAATATTTTCAATAAAATAGCCATATAAGTGAATACAACTAAATAATTATGATTATGAAATAAAAGCAATTTTAAAAGTTTCAAGTACTTTTTACGTGTTTAACTTAATTTATCTACAAGAAGAGTAAATTGTGTAATAATATAAACAGGCTTAAAACAAAAAAACATAAAGAATATTCAAATGGTTAAAAAACAATAATCATCAAAGTGGAAAAAATGGTTTGCAAAAGTTTATAAAATGTCTGAAGCAGACTAAATCTTATTTTTAAAACATAAACAACCTGCCAAACTATAACACGTTTTTATTGTGCCACTTCAAGAACTATTTTAAACTATTATTTTCCCTTAAGCTTCTAATTTTTATAAATTAATATTTTTGTTATTTTTAACGTGTTTTTAACGAAAACAATACCATTTCATGTATGATTAAATATTATACAAAGTTATGTATACTTAAAGCACAATGTTCCTTTTACAATATTGATTTTAAAAAGTCCATTGTTTTTCCCGGATAACACAAAATCGTAAACATCGTGGGGACAATAACAGACTATACATTATATCAACTTATATGATATAATTATCATATCTATACAATACATGTGTTGATATTACAATACATGTAACATATCGAGTTCATGTATTTTATTTTGGTTAATCAGTAATACATATGTATAACATTATGAACTAAGTAAAAAAATACATTTCAATTTGCAGCGTGATTTTTTACAATATAATTGAAAATCTGTCATTTTGTTTCCCGGCATCTGTCTCGCACACTCTTCTTTATTGCTATTTTGAAATCTCTAAGAGTATGTTTCCTGTGGCCAAACAG